GACCAATGGAGCCAAAACGCAGCTGGTCGCAAGGCGAGAAGAAGCCTATCACGTGCAAATGGGGTACCGTAGCCTCCAAATCCATGGGTGACAGAAGAAATTGGCGGAAAAAAATGATGACTGCCCCTGCCAGTGTTAGTCCACCAAATCCTCCAGGCTTCCAGGCCGCTGGACCTGTGGAGCGCGATCTTGGTAACAGGTTGCTGGGCAACAAATGCGTGCAGGGAAGGAGACCGGTCCCTACCAGATAATGACACTTGGAAAATCCAACAACTTCTGGATCATCGGGGCAACATCCATTCGTGTCAAAAGGTACCAAGAGCATCTTATGTGCCGACAGAGTTTAAGAATGTCAAAACCCTGTTGACGCTTTTGGGCATGAACTACAGTAAATCGATGGACCTTCCATGTGCGCCTTCCGGATTCCATGGACCATGGGGGCCATGGATTCTGAGGTTTGAACCCACAGCCATTCACACCCACTTCTCCTATTGAGAAAAGCACTTGATATGGGGGAATGGGAGGAAGTTATGCCCGCGTCGTGTTTGCACCTTCCGGCAAACTGCGTATATATATAATATACATTGGGTCTATCCATGTCTGTCTATCCCATTGCCAGAAACAGTGGATGAGGATGGTTAGTCAAGGCGTTGTTCAAAGCTATACTGATAGTTGTTTACAACTATTACAGGTAATGGGACAGATCCAACATATACACGAAAGTGCGAAGTCACGCTTGGAAGCCTCCCCAAAACACAGCAACTTCCGACAAACAGAAGCCTCAAACCATATGCAACTACCACAGCCACGAAGCAGCCACGCTGTCTACGTCTTGACCGCGAGCGGGACGTCCCACCTGCAGGGACGGCCTGAGCGACGGCCTGAGAGGGGACGAATCCGAGCCCAGAAGGAACATTCTGAAAACAAGTTCAACAAGTCTCTGACGGTTCTTCTTTTCTTCCGTTGATCGCGGAATAGGAAGGAAAAAAGACCATCAAAAAACTGGGGATGTCCCATCTGGAAAGCGGGCCAAGTGAAGTTGTTTAAAAGCGAAGATGTTCTTCTTCAAAGTTCAGAACCTGCTTCCAGTTCCGGATAGTCTCGCCGCCTGCACAGGGCCTGAGGTGCGCGGAGCCCTCATCGCCTGGACGCGCGTGCACGCGTCCCGGAGGCGGTCCGGAGAGGTCTGTCCGAAGACCCAGTAGCTTCTAGCGTTCCTAGTAGCGATGCCCTGGCTTGCTAGTAGCCATGCACCTGGTGTTCGTTAGGTTCGGCACCAACTGCAGTTGAAATTCGATTCTGCCAAAGGAACATGGTTATTGTTCGCCGTTCAACAGGCACTCGCTTCGAAGAAATTGAAGTTCAGGTGCTTCCCAGTTGAGACAGGACACCCTCCACTCCTGTATGATCACTGCCAAATAACTTTGGCTGCTCAAGCTGCAAGTCACGGAAGAAATGCAGGAAATGCAAGCACAGTTGAGTTTATTCTTCCGATACGCCAGTCAGTGCATCTGCAAACCTTATGTATACAGTTAGTAAGTTCCGAGAAAGTTGAGAATGATCTGCAAAAAGCACGTATTGATGCTATTTACATATGATACCATATATTATATAAGCCAGCAGGCGTCACGCACCTTGTGAAAGTATGCGGTACTTCACTGGATATGCACTAGAGTCCATCTGCATTCGAGGATGTAACTGGGCATTCTGTACAAAAATCTGCTGGTTCTGGAGGCTTTCCGAGCTCTTGAATCCTGTCGAAACACATAACGCATGCTGGCACTAAGATGCACTAAGTAGGAAGGTGTTGTGCCTCAGGCACTCGCGGCCTTCTCTAAAAGGCTTCATATCTCATAGATTCTCATGGTAGAAATTCTGAGACCTGCTTGATGCTCGCTCCACTTGGTGCCTGTGGGACAGCCTGTGCAACAGCCTGCGGCACTGCTGAGATTTGCCCAGGCTTTGCCTCGTCTGCGCAAAGTGTCCGTTAGAGATGCTCTACATCTACTGGATTTGGAAATGCTACGAGATGCTTGTAGCAGGACTAGCATATGAGGGGAAAGCGCTTCAAGATCCTTCAAGCAATACTCCACCACTATCTGCTGACTGATGCTATCAGCAAGAAATGAAAGATTTCCCGACCGGAACAAGAAGCTATTAGTAACAACAAAGGGCATCGCTACTAGGAGCAAGGACGCTACTAGTAGCTCCTGGCATTAGTTACTAGGAACCAGGGACGCTATTAGAAACAAAGGGCAAACCTGACCTGATCCTGGAAATCTCATCCTCAAACTGCCACCAAACCCACCACCCAGCTCGATCGGTCACATCAGTCACCCGAACCTGGCCCGCAAACGAGACAAATCTCCAAGGTTCGCCAGCCTGCGCAGTCTGGGCTGGTCTTGGTCGAAAAAAACACACCAAACTCCCCATGGAAATCGGTAAGCACTGCATATCAACTTCCAAGAGCCAGAAGACGCCTTCCTGAGGTCAACGTTGCGACAAGCTCGCTCAGGAAGCCAAAAAAGTGTGCTGATCATCTCTGACAAAGGGTGCAAAGGGTGCACTCAACACCTTCGCAATGTATCAATGCTGGTGGTAAACAAGGCCCTCCATTGAAACATCGAACCAAAGCCGTCCCCATAACCTCTCCCGCTCGCCTGAACCACGGGTGCCTCGCGAAAACGAGGAGAGGAGGTGAGAGCTGAGAGCTGAAAAGGTGAATGTTCCAAAAACTCTCGAGTTTTCGTTTGCTTGTTCTTGTTCTTTTTGAGCCCACCCTTACTCAATTAAGTAGGTGCCTACTTAAGTAAGGGAAAAGGCTCCTAGCTACTCAAGCTACTCGTATGGATGCAGGATAGCTCACGCTTATTCAAGGAAGCTCCCCCGGCCTGAGGGCAGGGGGAAGCTTCCTTGAAGAAGCGCTTGCACTAATGATTTGGTTCCTAGATGACTTGATGTGACAAAAAACAACGGGGACTGTTGAAGTCAGGCGACTGTCAGTCATGAAAAGGGGATTTGGAGACCATCTCTATTGGTTGGAAGGATGTCTGGAGCGAGACTATAACCTGGAATTGCACAGGCCATGGCGCATCCAATGATTTGAGCAAGAGTCAAAGAGGACAGATCCTCATGTGCTCTGGAAATCTCAGACACATCAGCTTCTTATGGAATCAGATGCAGTAACCAAAGGGCTAAGGAAATTTGAGTAGTGCTGGTACCAGTAGAGTATGAGAGTATAATTGGAAGGTCCTGAGACTTTTATCCGGCGTACGTGAATGTATTGTATGTTTGTTTGCATTTTACGAGATTCAGCACTAACACTACTCACACAAGGCCCCTCTCTTTCGAAGCCAGCAACGGAATGCGCCTGCACGGACTGCGGCGAACTCTGATACGCCGTAGGCATGCTCTGGTATGGCACGCTGCGAATAACCTGCTTGTCAAACAGACGAGATCTCTGCTGCCACTTCTCCATCAGAACGATTGGAGACACCCAAAAGAAGTACAGTAAGATTACCTGGGTCACCTAAGAATGTCCCAGTACCTAAAAATCACCCAGTAATCCTCAGTCCCCGTAATGATTTAATGTGCACAAGTTGGTTCCCTTTCACCTGAAAGCGTGGAGGTAGTACGAAGCCATGAACAACTGCCACCACTCGGGTAGACAGAGTTGTTCCGCTTTTGCGTTGTATAATAATAATTACGTGGGTCTGGTTGTTTATCCAACATAAAGGCCGACGTTGCTCATGTATAATTACGTCGCCTTTCTCCTTGGAAACATCTTGGTTTCTAGAGACCACAAAAAATTGTGAGTGTGGGGATGTCCTGCTTATGTCTTCAGCAATTTTTACATCCCAAGAAACCCCTGCGATCAATTGCAGCAACTGTCCTCTGACACAACCAGGCGTCTCTCCTGCCTGGCTTTGTGGCTGCCTCGTGGACAGCACGGATCGACGTGTTATCAGTTTCATGAAGCATTATGAAAAGCCATATTTGTTGACTATGGTCATTCTATTTTGAATGGAAGTTGACCATCTAGGACCTAGAAGTCAAAGAGGTTGTGAAGGTTGTGCATTCTGCTGGATCTGCAGTAGTGAAGCTTCAAATAGGTTTACAATCCAAGAGCAAACCCAACTCAGCCAGAGAAAGTCGCATGAATTTAAGGACTCTCTAGATCAGCATCTAGTGAAAAGATCTAGAACCTCCAGTCAAAATTAGAGTCTACCTGCCTGGACCTCAGGTTTCTGATTCAAACACGTGGGATTAAGAAATATTCCAGACTCTATCGAAAAAGAAAAGAGGTGGATTTCTGATCACAAGCCTCAGCCGGGGTTGTAGCATCAAAAAGAAAGGCTCGCCGACTCACCGCTCTTTCCTCCGTCAAACGCTTTACTCCAACGAGGCGCATCGCTCACCACGGCGGCGAACGATCTTCGACCGCAAGGCGAACGGATCGTGGCGTGGCGGAAACGCGTTTCGATCTACGTGGCTGCGGGGCGCAGGGCACCGAACTTTGTGACTCATAGCGTTCTTGTTGTTAGTAGTAAGAATGCTACTAGTAGTAATGCCCTTTGTTACTAGTAGCGATGCCCTTGCTCCCAGTAGCTTCTTGTTACTAGTAGCGATGCCAATTGCTCCTAGTAGCTTCTTGTTGCTATCTTTGAACCGTCTTGACCATCCTCTAGATCATGAATATTACAAGCCCTCATAGAAACTGGCTGTTTCATTCTTATGATTCTGCAGATTCCTTTGCCTATGTCTCACAATTCCAGAATCCCCGTCACTGATTCTGTTTCCAACTATCTGGAGTCTTGAATGGAGAGATCTTTGCACAAAGACGGACCACAGTTTGGAAAGTGTTTGCTCCCCTTGCAAGTGTCTCGGTTCTGTTGGGGGCAAGGTTAGCATCTCCTATCTCTTCCATCCTTTCCTATAGTCAAGCATTTGCCTTTGACCGACCAACCTCTACCAAACGCAACAAAATCCAGCTGCGACAGTCATAGTTCCAAATGACCAACTTCTGATCCTGCGACGACTTCCGGATCAATGGCCAGACTTCCTCGTAGAACCCTCCAGAGAAAAAGACCTCGCACCATTGAAGGGGCACTGAACTGCACTGCGCGCTCCGCACTGAACGGCTGCCATCTCCTGTGGCATCCCAACATCAAGAGCTCGCCCTGCACAGATACCTGAGATGCTGGGAACTGCCGTGTACCTGCCAGGCACGCCTATAGACTTTAGACCGATGGCCTGGCCAAAACCACTTTTGTTGACTGTCAGAGACTACACAGGCCTGCTCGGAGGGTTGGGCGATTCTGACCCCTCCGGCATGGATTCCTTCACCGCCGAATGAAGGGAGTGTGGGAGAAGGTTGACTTCAGTTCTCCAAATCCTGAGTCCTCGGAGAAAATGAAATTGATGGGTCCAGTTCAGCTGCAGAATTCTGAAACATGCAAGACAATACTGTAAGTGAGAAACGAAGCGCTCCTCTTGATTGTGGAATTGAGTTGCCCAATCACGGGAATTTCGGAATCCCACTCAAACCAAGGACACAAGGATTTGGTGAGCACTTGTCACTTGTTTGTTATCCTTTTGCGGTCAGGATGTTGAGATCCTTCATTCCATCGCTGTCTTTGTCCAGACCTCCCCTTCAGGCCCCGCACTCGACACAGCAAGCCTGCTGGAACCCCATCCTGGGCCACAAGGTCCCAGGCCACCACAGTGGTTCCTACCAGTTGGATAGTTTTTACTTCAACCGTTCTAATACTGTTTGTTTGGAGCAGTGTACACAAACCTGAAAATTAGGTGACAAAGATACTCCTCTCTGCAGAACTTTCTTTTTGTAAGAACACCTCAAAATGTTCTGCCTGAAACAAACGTCTAGTTACTAGTTGGCATTGGGATATTCCTGGCACATCCAGCAGTGGGTTTGTGGCTGGAAATGGCCATCTACTGCTGTGAAGGAGCAGAGAAAGCCGATCGAGTACTGCTGTGACCCATGGGGGTTCTAAAGAAGAAAGACACCTGAGCATGCAAAAACCTCTGGGGTTCTAGCTCTTCTTTCACTTGGTCTTGTCAGGCATCTCAGGATCTCTCACGAAAAGCAACAATCCATCAACAAACAGAATACCAGAACTAAGCTCTAATGATGTGAAAGCATTGAAAACCTGCGAAAAGAAACACGCATGAGTGTCAAGGTTAAAAGACCTTCGCCCCCCAGTTCCTTTCATTGCAAGTATACCCACAGAAAGTCCTAGCCAAAGCCACACCTCTGAGTTGTGTTCCTTTGAACGGAATTACACCTCGAAACATGTCTGCCAGAAACTCTTCCCAACTCTTCCTCAGAACGGTGGGCACCCGGGCACCTTTGGCACGGCAGACCTGAGGAAGCACTCAATCGAGCAGAAAACAAACATCCAGGATGAACAAAGAAGTGTGTACTTTAGAAAGTCTTCCCCTGTCTTGCCATTGCACCTACCAGACTTGGAGGCGCATCCCACATAGAAATGGTGGAATTGGAATTGGTGATCATTATGAGGACTCATGAGGACCCGAGAGAAAAGTCAACTCCGTTTTACACATGTCATGAAGAAAGGTCTTCTCCGAAACCCTTCTTCACCGATCACCGAAACCGGATCACATCCGATCACCCAAGTCTTGGGCAAGACAAGCAGCAATCAAGGCAAGACAAGCAGCAAACTGCCCAGACAAGCAGCTTGCACTCTGAGACCGTCTCAAACGATCCCTGAGACATCCAACGAACCGAGACTTTCGCCTAGACCGTCTGAAGGATCCACACATGGTAGGCGTTCGCTGTGCGACCAGACTAAGGCCTTCAGGGAAAGAGGTTTTCAGATGATGCACCAAAAAACCAAGGCCCTCCACAGACTATGTCCTTTTGTACAACATGACCAACATGCCGGGATCTTGGCGCTTCAGCCGGACTTCGTCATACCTACGCACCGCAGGAACAAACAAATGATTGGCACAAACTCTTGAGGTATAGTGAAAGGTTGGATCCATTTCAGACCCTTGACAGCTGTATAGCGTCAGAGCCTTTATCCCCAAGCAACCACTTAGCCCATGGTCGCCCCAAATGCTCCAAGGGGCTACGGTCGCAGGCACAACCACAGCGGGATTGACCTGCATGTGCCCCACCCGGCAAGAAAGCGCGTGGCGGAAACGAAAGGTTGGTCCAGTTCGATTGGTTGTTCCAAGGGAAGGCAGTTCACCCCCAAAGTGGGTTTAACTTGCTATCTGGACCGCGCAAACATGCTGCCCATCAATGACTTCAGGTACCTCCAGCCAAGTTGCCCTATGGCCTATGTTTGTTTCTGCTTTGAAAGTCTGTTCTCATGCAGAGAGGCGAACTTGGAACACTCAAGTAACACCCTTGCACATCTCTTTCAAACATGCGAATGAACGAGGCAAAGCGCCATGGTCTGTTATATAGGTCCCTTCTTGTTTCACTACAGAGTCTGCTGCGTCAACCCTACATCACCCTACATCACCCTTCGCTTAAGGTGCTCGAGCAACTTGTATGTAAGAGTGACATATCTCTCGTGGTCAACCCCCTGTTCCCTTCTCATAGCGTGTCTACAACAGAATAGTGATGTTCAGTAAGCGCCCAGTGCTGATCACTCTTTCAGGCACATAAAGGAAGGGATCCTTCATAGTAGGGTTCTCTGGCTTCAATGGTCTGACCCAACAAGAAAACAAATCCTCCACTATATGATCAAACAACAGCATGGAACAACCCCTGGGTGTGAAGCAAGCGTGTTGTCGATTCCTGGGCTATCTCACCGAGCATACCGTTTGTCTTAAGCAATACAGTATATAAACTACAAAGCCAATTGGTTGATGGCAAACAGAACGGACTCAACACCTGTTCATCGCCATAGAGAAAACCTCATGGTGACAAGTGCATCTGTTCCAAGCTAATCTGGCCTTTACCAACACACTGACATACATAGAGAATACCACAGTATTTGCCACGAGTCTTGTCCCAGAACTTATCCATCCTTGGTCAAGTGACGCTGGGCACCCGAAATTACCACGACTTGGGTGCAAGTTTTCTCTGGCTTAAAATCATTGCTTAAAGAGGGGACTCTGGGTTCGGCTCAAACAAGCAAAAAAACAATCATCTTGGGGTGATGTCATAATCTTCAAACGAACATCTTCAAAGCTCCAAGCTCCAAGACCTCACTTCCCAACTCAATCCACTCACCTTCGGGGTGGTGATGCTCTTGAGCCGGCGCGGCGTGAGTGCCTATCAGGGCCGACCCAGCACCCTCTGAAAAACTGTCGATACATCTATTGTTGATGTTGGTCGATCATGCATATACATATATATTGTATATAATTATATAGTATATATATATATTATATATATATGCATATATTATATATATACAACTGTGAAATAAAATGAAGAAGAAGCAAAAGCGGAGGTATATACAACTGTGAGTCAAAACCCGGAGCCCGTTTCACTCCGGTAGGTTGACCGAAACCAGTCGTCTATTTCATGTTCAGCGACGTTCAGTGCTGACGTGGAGACGGTTCACCCGATCCGAAGCGACCGATCGGAGACCGAGAAACGGCGGAGTAGTCTGATTCGATTCACCATGGCTGTAGTTGGAGGATGGATTAAATGGGACGACGACAACGGCCAAAAGAATATGTTGGTGACATTTATGGCTTGTAGCATTTGTAGCACTTGGATTGTTGTGGCACCGAGCGACCTACAAGGAGTAATTACCAGGATTCGACCCTGCTGGTCGGATTCGACCCGGGGTATTCACACCATTGCCCAAACATGCCACTCAGCTTCAACACCGTCAGAGGCCAAATAAAGACTTAAGCCGGTTTGAAGAGACAAACCACATTCGCAGAAATCAGCATTGACCCAGAGGCTTCTTGGAGTCAATTCAATGCCTATGTGTGTGTGTGTGTGTCGAATGCAAAGCAACTAGCTATGCAGCGCGGCCATCACAAATGATCGTTGGGATGTCTATCAATCAAACGTCTTGTGAACTACGTAACATACAATGACTTTCTGAGTTGTTGGTGATGGTTGCTTGGAGAGATTCCCGTAGGTCAGAACGGTGTGGCACCTCCAAAGCGGGTTTGGCCAGCTCCAGCAGCCCTTCAAACCTCACATCGGGTGAGTCCCCTCTGCCGGTGGGTCGGGTCAACGAAAGAGGTCCTCGCGGCCTGCGGCCTGGCTGCCAACTTGCTGAATGTCACGACAAAGACCATGAAAATGGACCCTTGAAGATGGCTCCTCTACAGGCTGAAGTTTGGAGGGCCATGCAGCTATGCTCACTCTCTTCGCTCTTGGGAGCCTCAGGAACCTGCCCCAGACGGACGAGTGGTTGCCATCGAGGCCCGCACTGGTCAAAGCAAGCAATCGCCATGGGGGGAGATCGAAACACAAACTTCAAATAGTTGTGTAGCAGTTGCTGGACACTGCTCGCACGTGTGCTGGATAGCGCGTCTTTCATTTAACTTTATATATTATATAGGCTGGCAAGTGCGGCTTAGATTCTCAGACGCATCCAAACATATAAAAGCATTTATTGCAGAATTTTGTAGGAATGTTGTCCGTTTGGGTCTCAACGTCGTTTCAGCATGCTCCAACTCAGGTCTACAACAGCACCGAGCTGATGTCAAGAGATGGCCCCTACGCTTTTTGTGAGCCGAGTCCATCGCGCCGGACTTCGTGAAGGTTCAAGACAGCGGTCACACCCAACGGCGAGATCCGGTAAGTACAGAACCACCCGGAGCCGTGCTCAACCGAACTGAATACCCATTCCGAAGGGTGCCAGTTGGAAGTATTTTAATGTTTTTATAGATGTGGCTGGCATGTCCTTATATAGAGGATTGAATGCATCGACCACTTGATGTGATTTTAGCGCTTACGAATCAAGCCTGGTAAGGTTTGGATGTACTGCGCACGTCCTTCCTCCAATGCTCCAAATCAGCACAACCTAGAACAATTGCACCCGTCCATCCATCCATCCATCCATCCATCCATCCATCCATCCAATATCATCCAATAATACATCCACGGATTCGAGCACATACACGTGTATTCATGATGATCATCCAACAGCGTAAATAGATACTGCCATCTGTCGTGAACCTACCCTAGCTCTCCCTATCTGCTTGTAGCATCTTTGCATATCTTTGCCTCGAATCTAGTAGAAAGCTCTTGGATTTGCGTCAGGAACCGGAAAAGCAAAAACATCCCCAATGCCAGGGGCCATTCACCCCAATTCGGAACATCAAATCCACCCGATCCACTAAACCAAGTCCGGCGTGGGCTGGTCTCGTCCCCTCCACCCATCTTCCGGAGAGTCTCGTGCCGTGCTAGCATCCGCCGCAGGGCCAACGAGGCGGCAGGATGCCACGCCACCTCACGCGGGAATGCGAACTTTCTGAGGCCAGGTCACAAGGGGTGGAACCAGGGATATCAGATGTTTCAGTTAAAGGACAATCCCCGGCCCTTTTCTGTAGGTGTTCCAGTGGCTCCAAATCAGTATATAATTAGAAGAGAATGTTAAGAGAACGAACCCAAAAACAGATCGCATGGAAATCACTGACTTCCCTCGTGTTCCGCTCGAGTTCCGCTAAGGGCTGGCTGATCAACTACTGGCCTCGTGCAGGAACTCCGATGGCACCTCACCGGTCACGACCTCAGATCGACCAGTCCGAGGGATGCCCGGTCAAACCGGATCAGTGCCAAGCGGCCGGTGAGAAAAACATGGTCCACCTATGGTCCACCGGCCGATCGATTTGTGTGCGGAGATGGATTCTGGGAGTTTGGTGCATTGGACAGAAACTCGAATCTAGAAAAAGTGAAAAGCCATGGGCAGCCATCATAGATCTGTGAAAACTCTCCATCATGTACTGTAGGTTGTCTCAAGGATCTGAGGATACCTAGAACCATCCCGGTAGAAAGCATCTGTGGGAAAATACAAAAACGGGGTGTTTGAGGGGAATCATAGCCATCCTCTTGGGGGTGCCACGGGCAAAAGGCAGATGGCCCCCTTCTTGGATCTGGGCCTGAATGGACAGCCGTGTCTTTTCCGGCGCTAGATCGAAGGGGCCCAGAGGCGACGAATCTGACACGGAAAAAGATATGAAAGATCTCAAGGTGAATTTGCTTTTCTCATAATTATGTTTGCTCAGCGAAATATAGCGAAATAACACATCTTTCCTGCTACTTGCTGTTCGCAGCACCAGGTGGTTTCGAATAGCGAGGGAAATCTGTTTCAAGCGCAGCACACATACTTCATAGAACAGACAGTGCAACCTTCGGAACGCACTAACACCTGGAAGTTATAATCCACCATTGGCTATGAGGGATCTATTCATCATTATTCATCTATTCCTACAAATGCATCTTTGCGTCCAACCTGCCAACAGCAACAACTCTTCTGGACTGAGTTTCTGGCCATCCATCGCAGCTTTTTCGAGGTACAGAAGAAGTCCTCGCAGCGAAACGAAGAGGTCAAACCACGAAAAGCAACGGCTGTAACGTTGGATGCTTCCACCACAGACTGCTGTGAAGAAACGTTTCAGAACCAGGAACATAATGGGGCCAGTACGAGGTATCCCCTTCTCAAGCAGTGCAGGGGATTGGCGGACCACGCTGACAATCTTTTGCAACCTGTGCTTGTGAATTCCTCAGCTTAGACTGTTTGATACTCATGCACGCATCCCCCACTGCCACTACGAATCCCATCACACGCTCGCACAGCGCACTCGCACACCGGGCCCTGAAGAGCACCGCGGCGTCTTGGTGGCCCAACGAGGAGCGCACCTCGCATGGTTAGAGATATGTTGGTAGTTGGTTCAATGTTGGGAAGCCACCCAACATTCTGAGAGGTGGATCCTTTTCGGTCCAAATGTCTGAGATGAACTGGGTATCATACCAGCTTCGTCAAAAGTTGACGAACATCTTGAAACTTCCGGAGGAATGGGCTTTCTGAGACACTATTATAGTGGTCTCTGGGTTCTAGATTGTTCCCGAACAAGCAGGTCCAACATAGCGAATTAGTCTCTCGTTTTGCTTAACTAGACCAGATTTTCCTGCATTGGAAGAGTTTTCTTGCTCTTTGTCTCACACACCAGTCACCTGTGATTGAACTCCCACAACTGTTCCAGGTTTCTGGCCACGGCTGCGGCCGTGATGGGGGGCGTGGCGGCCTGGCGATTGCAGTTCCCAACGAGGTCGTGGAGAAACCCATGTCGAAATGTCTACATGTTCTTGGCAAAAGTGGGTGTCTAGTCTAGTGCTAAGAATCTGCAGCTTCATGCCCCTGCTGTTCTAAGGGTCGATCATGATCTGGCATGAAGAATTGTGGTTGCTTTTGAACACCTTCGCCCAAGCTTGTGCTTCGGCAGGCTGCTTAGGGCCAGGCTGCATCCAAGAACTCAGCCTAGCACAAGCGTCCAAGAACTCAATCACTAGTGGGGTCACCTTTTCTTTGGTTTGGTCATAGCCAACATGAGCGGTGCAAGAAACGCTTGTGCCTTCTCATTACACTGGTTGATACGTGTCATGCGGAGCCTTGCCTTCAACCATATCTTCTTTCGTGCCCCTCATGCGCAACCACGCAAACACTTGTCTGAGTCCTAACTGGACTTGGGATATGCTACAGCCTGGAGCCCACAAAGGACACAAAGCTCGACCTGTTAGGGACTCAGTGTTGTTGGGTAAGAAGCTCTGCTAAATCCTATGGTGGAGCGAGGATTCCTTCCTGCAGGGTCATGTTCGAGTCCTTGTGTTTTTCCCGATGTACAGTCCTCTTACAATATGCATGTTGGTGAACCTGTGTCATGCTTCAACAATGTAGTAATGACTACCTTTCTTGTCCACTCAGGCAGCGATTTGTCGCAGAAGGCAGCCAAAATAGAGCTGTATATGTGTGCAGCATACTGAATACAACAATGGAAACCTCCAGAAGCTGTACAAAGTTGCATATGTGCACAGGATTGTGCAGCTATATAGATTCGATGTCTATGACGAGCAGCGTTGCTCTATCCTTTTTCGTCAAATACATCTGGAGGGACAGAGTTCCATCCGGGCAGCCGGACCAAGGCTGCCAAGCGCTTGATCCGGTCGTCGGGCACACTATCGACGAGTTCCTCGGCCGTTACCAACCACGAACCACCTGGTCCTCCGTTGGAAGTTCCATGGGAGTTCACAAGGTGCTTTTTCTTCTGTTCTTTTTGTTTTTCGGTGTTTTCTGCTCGGAGCTTTACAGTAATTGAGTAGCAGAGATGTACTTTTCGTAGGCGCCTACTCAATTAAGAGTAGGGCGGTGGACGCAGGATAGCTCATGCTTCTATTCATTAGGTTCCTAGATGGATTTCCAAAGAAGAAACATGTGCATCTTGCAAGAATTCTTCAGTTTTGTCACGTCCCGTTGTCATGGTAGATGAAGGCCAGAATTGAGAACCGTCAGTAAAGTGGAGAACATGTGGTGGACAAATGTCGCATCCTCACAGCTAAGCTTTGGTCTACTGACAAACAGCCACAGCCCCTACAGCAAAAACACGCGGCAAAGGCCGTTTGAAAACCAGAGACTCTGAGAGTGAAACTGACAAGATCATGTGATACTGGAGAAAACCCCAAGATGGATACCTTCCAAAGACACACCAACTGGTGAAAGAAAGGGGCTCGGAATCTGCAGAACCCCAACTGATGAAAGAGATGTTTCAGGATGGCCTCAGAGCAACAGGCAGAACTCCCAATATCTCATCAATACTCCCTCCTGGAACACATACGTTGTGCTTCCCTCTGGCTTCTTCCAAGTCCAAGGCTTCTTCCAAGTCTTCGACCTAGGCATCCACCACCGCGTCCCATCCAACGCCAAACCGACACGACACACGGAACCCGACAGGAACAGTCACGAGACCGGTCCTCAACGCCCCCAAAAGCCCCGGGTCAGGAGGCAAAATCGAAGGAACATCCTCCAGGAACGATGGACAAGCTTGATCCGGCCGGAACTAGATTCTAGCGGCCAGAGCCCCGTCTACAAGGTTCTGGTCTACAAGGATGGGAGCATGAGCAAAAACAAATGGCAAAGCACAAAGCGCCATGCCATGTGTCCCACTGGCTCGCAGAATGAAAGCATCCAATCGGGGACCTCGACCCTAGAGTAGACACGGTTTCCATCACCTTCAGATTGCAACCCGCAGGAGGACTATGCAACATCACAGCCATTCCCAGCCTACTCTGGCATTTCACACCACAGGATGTTGCAGCGCCTGTGTCCGAACTAAGGTGTTCTCAGACTCAGCGTGTTCCCGGTGCACCCAGGTGAGATGTCAAGCTCCAGTGTTCCGAAACGGCATTACAATCAAGATGTGCTGTATCTCAAGCTTGAATGTCATATAATGATCC